AGAACAACTGTTAAGTTTGTGGCACATATTTCTGGATTCAAAACCCCTTTCTTTAGGAGAGCCCCAAAGTCTACAGGTTTAGCACAAAGGAAAGGAACGAAACACAGCCAATTTGTCTTGGATGTCTTGGCCTTGGCCCACCCCTGTTTGTCGTCTTCGCCAGAATAGAGCCTTTTTGTACATCTCCAGCGAAGAGGAGCTTAACTGTTAACATCTCCATTTAGAGAAAAAATGGGATGTTAGAAGAAACATACTACACCTTTTTCCTTAAGCTGTATTTTTTATTTCAATGGGTATCCAAACATCTGGGTCTTTTATTACTAAATACATTTATAGTGTCTTGTTAAAGGTTGAGAAATGAAAGCTGTTTTCTTCATTTCATTTCTTTTCTTCTTCATTTCATTTACAAGTAGCCCCATAGTGTATTTTCTGTTTATGTACAACCAAAAGGGAAATACCATCATTTGCATCCTCTAATGATTTATTAACTGCTAATATTAAAGATTATTTTTCTGTTAGACCCCCAAATTTCAGCGATATTTATAGTTTTGTCTTTAAGACAATGAGGATTTTTTTAAATTTAAAACCCCAAATCCACAAGAGAACGTGTATATTCAGTGGGCATTTGACACTATGGGAAATGATGTTTAGTGAGTTTAGTGCAAATCAACCCATTTAAAATGATCCAAGAAATGTTTGCCAAATGATTGATGTTGGTTGTTTCAAGAAATCATAAATTAAACCTAGAGATACAAACCTAGGAGAGGTTATCCTGATAATGTTGCATTTCCTCTGATTCAAAATGTCAAAATAAGATCTAGTTACTTGAAAACTTTAAGGTTCCATATCACTAATATGCACACTATCATGATTTCACGTTATATGCCATGGGGACAGGACAATTTTAGGAAACCCCCAAATTTCTAAAAGCACTCAGGGGAGTAGCCACATGGTCCCACAGGTTGATTTCCTGGAGTCACTGATTTTGCAACATGTCTGAGCTGCAAGGTCAAGGTAAAGAGTGGTGAGAGCGGACGCAGCAGGCACGTTTTCTGATCTAACGAGTGAGGGAGCAGGTTAGGCATCATGCAGATGTTTTGTTGGGCTTTGGCACAAATCAGGTCTATGTTCCTATTTTCCTCCCTATCTCCCCAACTTGCTGTGCATCTATACAGCTGCCTCACATAGACATGGAGCTAAGGAGATGGGGAGTCAGAGAGAGATGGGCTAGGCACAGCATGGCAGCTCCCTGAGAAAGCTGTATCAGGAGTTCTATGTTATAAGTCAGATGGAATCAATGAAATTTCTGAGAGTTTCCTGGGGTTTTTAATTTTCTTAAGAAACCGTGGAAAACATGACTATGAGGTTTCATTAGCAAACCTTACCCAGTTCTGGAGACATACAGTATTTAAGAAGCATAAATAAGGCTTTTGCATCCACCCAGCAGTGCCAAGCTAGAATTGCAGACTCTTAGATCTGTCTGCATCCTAGCATCCATGTGCAGGGCATGTGCTTTAAGGTTTCAGAAATCACCAATTAACACTATATGGCACCCTCATAGCCTGCCTGACACAGCTACGTAAGAAGTACATTTCAAGTCAATTCTGTGCCAAGTATAATTCTGAGCTATAAACTCCTCAAAAGATTTTTAAGGACTTGCTTCACATCATACAAATATGAACTTGCAACCATCTGCCGCACTGTAGGAGCCGTTTGCAAAGATGGTCCTAGTGATTCTCTCATCTCTTTACAAGGCACACTCCTTTGCAACGCAACCCTGCAGCTCCCCCAGCCAAGAAGTGGTGTTTACTTCTCCACCCCTTGAATCTGTGCTTGGTTATGTGACTTTCTCGACCAATGGGACTTTTGCAAATGTGGCAGAAACAGAGACTTGAAAAGCACCTGTACCTTGGGACTTTTCCTCTTTGGGCTGCCATGATGTGAATAAGCCCCTGTCAGATGTTGGAGACACGTGGTCCAGCTGACAGCTAGTACCAACACCAGAGATGCACATGAGGCTATCTCAGACTATCTGCTCCCTCTCTATCCATCCAGCCTTAGGTGAGACCAGCAGTGCTGCCCATTTGGACCCAGCCCAATCTCTGACTTAATGATTGGTGAGCAATTAAATGGTTATTGTTTTAAGCTTCTATGGTTTGGGATGGTTTATTACTCATCAGTAGATAACTGAGACATACACCTATTTCCACCCCTGTAAAAGACAGAACATTGTAAAAAGAAAAGCACAGAAAAACCAGTGTCCATAAGAAATTAAAGGTTTCTCAGTTGTTCACCAACATAGGTTACATGGGGTCTCTCAGTTATCAAACATAAACTAGAATGGGTTCTCACTGCTGCTACCGTTCTTGTTTTATAGCCTGGTCAATCAAAACAAGTGTTTTCTAAAAATGGTCCTGGTGGTATTACCTGCTTTTGTCTAGGAACTAGCCTAGAAAAATCTGCTACATCAGCAAACCACAAGGAGCTCCATTGTCTTCCTTCACAAGTGAGTTTAAAAACCCAAGACTTGATAAAAACCAAGAATTGCAGTACTTCTACCAAAGTATTGACTGAAGGGGCCCAAAGAGTTTAACTATTACCACCCATGAAAGAGTAATATTACCTCCAATCTTGAAGGTGCAGAAGTTAGGACTATGGGCTTTTGAATAAGACAGATGTGGATTCAAATCCTGGCTCTACTATTTAATAGCTGGAAAACTTGACTATTAAAAACAGTTATAATAATAGCTAACATTTATTGTTTATTGTGCACCAAATATTATACCTAATAATATCATGTAATCCTTATAATAACTCTGTGGGACAGGTTCTGTTAATATTCCCATATACTCTAAGACTGTGGCTTAGAGAGATTAAGCAACTTTCCAAGAAAACACACCTGGTATGTGGTGGAGCCTGGATGATAACCCAGGTAGTATGATTCCAGAGAGTATCTTCTTGAGCATTTTGACATGCTGTCTCTCAAGTTATGCAACCAAGTCACTCATTCTTCATTAACTTTTCATCTATTGAGTTACTGATTCATTGATTCAGTCAACCCAAAAATATTTAACGAGCATCTCTCATATGCAAGGGATTTGAAATGCTGGGGAATCGATGGTGATGTGGTCTCTGCCTTAATAAGGTTTCAGATTTAGTGGGTAAAGGAGATTATAATTAAATAACTCAGCCTCTTCTTGTATCAGCACACTTTGCACCCTATTTTTAGACCAAACTGTTTCTATTGAAGATTCATGTCATTCCTTTGCCTGAAGTCCTTCTCCAGGATTATGGTGGTTTTAAAATATGTCCACAAATTGTTCAACATTCTTCCCTTCAAGAAATGGAACTTAATTCTCCTCTTTTGATGGTGGATTGGACTTACTGACTCGCTTCTAATGAATAGGATGTGGTGGAATTGACAGTGTGTAAGTAAGGCATGGGTAGGGGAGAAGAAGAAGGAACTCTCTCCTAAAACTTGAAGAGTTTCATTTTTTAAGAGATTTCCAGAGATCACTGAAATCTTCACATGGGAAGCTACAGAGGGGACCCTGTGGATCAGGCTGGGAGTTGCATTATATCCTTTTTATATGAATGAATAAAGCCAGATGTATAGCAGGATCCCAACTAAACTGTGCTTCTATTTCATCTCTCTCTTTTTTTTAAAGATTTTATTTTTTCCTTTTTCTCCCCAAAGCCCCCCAGTACATAGTTGCATATTCTTAGTTGTGGGTCCTTCTAGTTGTGGCATGTGGGACGCCGCCTCAGCATGGCCTGACGAGCAGTGCCATGTCCGCGCCCAGGATTCGAACTGATGAAACACTGGGCCACCTGCAGCAGAGCGCGTGAACTTAACCACTTGCCCACAGGGCCAGCCCCCCATATTTCATCTCTTAATTATGGCAATTCTAGGGCCTGGAAAGGAGAAGGGAAGGAATTAAAGGAAGATTTAAAGGAGATAACTAGTTTGAAAGAGTCAAGAGATTGCAACACAGTAATGAAGGTAGCTTCTCTCTATGTATATATTGGTGAGACATCATGCAGTTTTATTTACTCTTGAAATCATTACAACAGAATCACAGATTGACATGGGGAATGGCTGAGCCATAAGCAAATCGGGAATTACAGAAATGTCTCATCCAACCCCTGTATATTTTTTAATTGCAAAAATTACTCTTCCCTGGGAAAAAGTAATTACTGTCATTCCTCAATTGAACTACAGTGCCACATCTTTATTCAAGTGCAAGTACTTTGGGATCTATATGTTAGAGTTCACTATGGAACACATTACCCATGTGATTTTAAGGGGGCTTGTGAATTACGGTGGGTATTTTTGTAGGTGAGAATTTCAAGGAAAATATGCCATTTCATTTCCAGAGCATCAGCACTTAATTGTCTAATTATTCCCGGCATGAAAGAAATGAAGTCAACATACGATCGAAGCAGAAAGGCAAGCCAACGGAGCTCCAAATGAAAAAATGTTTTGAATTGTATAAATAGTTTGGAACTATGCCGTTTTATTTTGGCTGGCAAACAATAAGATTCTTAACATGTGAAATTAGACCCATTGAAGAAACTAAAGAGGATCGCAGACGAATGCCAAGTTGTTCAGCAAGAAATCATGAAAAATTTGGCAGGAGCTATAATTCTCTTGAGGACACCACAGGTCTCAGAAAGTAAAGTTAGCAGTAACCACTCAGCACTCAGGAAAGATAAGAAGGACTTCAGCGAGGACGGGGAGCCCTTGGTTCTATCAGCTTATAATAAATAGCATTTCAAAAGTAGCACTTTTCAGAGATAATGTATAAATATTTTAAGTGGTGAAGCATAGGTGTGGGCTATTTTTTCTGTACCACGTCCAGAAAATCTGCCCATACACATCAAATTCTGCATCTAGGGAATCTGTTTTATTGTGATGTTTGCATTTTTAAACAATGTGCCTGACCTATTTGGGGGTTAATATAACTAAATTGAGCCTATTTGCTGTTTATTATTTATAGAAGATTCACTTTGGATTAGGGCTTCTCAAGACATTTGTGTTTGAGCTGCATCAGGAGGTGTTCCTGGATAGCTCCCAACACCATAACAGGCAAGGAAATGACAAGTGAGAATGTGGACCAGCTTATAGCCTGCACTATAAAGGGTAAGAGGAAAATCGGGCTTTTTCCTCCTCATAAAGGCCAGACTGACCTCTGTCTAATAAGGACAAACTCGAGTTATTAGAGTCACATACAGGAAAGCCCTGTGAGTCAGTGCAAAAGGTTCTTCTGTTCAGTGAGGATCCCAATTACAATGTACAAAAATAAAAAGCCAGTCTTCCATTCATGAGAAGATTTTCGTAGAAATTCTTTGCCTGTCTTACAACCACTAAAGGAAGCAAGCTATGAGTTTGCATGTCTCAGGACTGATTACAAAGCACCTACAAATGGCTCCCAAGGTGAGAAGAAACAAAAAAAATTATAAATGAATTAGTACCAAAGTGAGCTCTGCTATCAGCCCTGTCTATCTCGCAGGCTAATTCTGGACAAGGTTATGGCTCCAACTCTGCAGACTCAAATAACCATGAATATTTTTTAATATGTATGTTTGCAGGTTCTTTTCGTTGGAGGGATAAGTACTGAGAACAAGCATGGCCCCTCTGAACAGCTTTCCAAGCCTTTGTGCTGGGCATGTGAACTTCTCTCAATGGAAATCAACCCAGCTGCCCACTGCATCTCTCCTTTTTTCATTGTGGTAATGAATGCTGGAAGCTTTCCAAAATACAAAGTCAACTTGACAGTGACAAATATGAAGTGAAAGGCCACATGATGATTAAGCCATTTACTGACCAATGGAAAAAACAGCTGTGATTGACCCAAGAGTTAGAAAAGCCAAGTATTTCACTAAGCTGAGGCAGTTCAGATCCATGGCATGGCACTACATGAGGAGAGGGCAACTTGTTTAGATACATAACTCTGCCTCATTACCAGAGAGCTATTTACAACAGTGATTACAAAAGAGCCACATATTTCAGCCTTCCCAGGGCTGCCAAGAGAATGAGAAGAGATAACCTTTGTTAAGCACTTAATATGGTCCAGGGCCTAGTTCATAGCAGGTGCTCAATAAATGCATGATTCCTCTTCCCTGCCCTGACTCTGTGATACCTGTTTGTCTCAGCATCCCCATTGGCTTCTATCCTGCCCATTCCCAAGCTCTTTAGGAAGGAATTAACCAGACAAGAGGCCAGAGGAACAAAGTAAACATATAGGAGCAGCAAAGGAGAGGAGGTAAGGGATTGGAAACTATCTTATGCCAAGAGATAACTTAAACTTAGTCTGGCTATAGTTTAGGTTCTCCTGAAAGCAGACCTTGAGGAAAGGACCAGAATGCAAGTAGTTTATTTGGGAGGTGATCTGGGAAAACTAGTAAGTGATTAGGGCATGAGACATGGAAGGGAGGGAGTTCAGTAAGGGTGCATTATCCAGTAAGTGAGCATTTAGAGCTTAAACCCACTGGAGACTGTGGGAGAAAATGTTCCATATGCCCCAGAGTTATTCTAACCAAGGGAAGAGGTAGGGTGTATCCACAAAACCCTCATTTGTTATTGGTTGATGGTTGCTTCTGGTGGCATGAACTCTCTGACAATTTTGGCTTGCCCTATATGCTGGTGAAGCTGAATGTGCAATCAGAAAAAATATCCTCTGGCAGAAAGAGTCACAGCTGTTCTCAATAAGTAGGCTTCTGTGGTAAGAGGTGAGTGCCCATGGGATATGGGTGGGGCACATCAGGGTCTGCCATAGCAACTAATTTGACTTTCAATTTGTAAAGAGGTTGAAATAGGAGTAGTGCCTTGAGATTCTTCCTCAAGTTAACATTGTGACACTGGCCAATTCTGTGGTGGCTGTTGGGATCGCCATTAACCAAGGAAACAGTATGTTGACTCATGAACTCTGAGTCAAAGAGACATTGTTGAAAGATACATTGAGCTATCTCCAACTCTCAGCAACCATTCAGCATGGAAAGCTCCTCATATAATTTGGTTTTTAAGACACACCAACAGGAACTGGAAGTAGTACTGCATTGTTAGGCTCTAAATTCATAGCTTCCCTTTGTGTGGGTTTGTGTGTAATGTCAGCCCTATCAAAGACATTAGATTTGTGAACATGATAAGTGGCAGTCTGATTTATTCTCTAGCTACCTTCCTTCTCCCACAGCAATCCCACACAAGAGTCCTTCCTTAATTTCCCTTTACCCATTTGGCTTGTGGCTTTCATATCTTCAATCTTTCCAGAGACTTTTGGAAATAATGGAAACACTCTTTAAACATAAGTTGTAAGGTAGGAATACAGTGCTGGTAAGCTTCAAGTTTAAATTGTACAATTATCAATAGTGACCATTTTATCTAGCATGTAGCAATTAATTCTAACAGCAGCTGTTTGCTTATAGACGACCAAAAAGGAACACAACACTTAATGCAGAAATGAAAGAAAAAAAAAAAAGCTAGAAAAAAGAAAAAAAAAGGGAGGTTTAACTATTTATAAAATTTTTCTTGGTGAAATAAGAAATGGAAAAAAAAAGTATGTTAATTGAATTAAGTCTTAGAAAAACCAATTCCGAGATCACTTATTTCTTGTATTTCAAGACAGAATTATTCAGTGGGTTTAGGAAAATGTCTACTGAGTTTTTAACTTTTTTACTTAAACACTAAGAAACAATCAGGAAAATAGAGATCATGTAAATATCAAGACACACATAGGTGTTTAAAATATGAGTGAAGTTTTGGAAATCACTGATTTTTTTTCACAAATGCATGTATATTTGAACAAAAATGAACCATAGTTTCAAAACACAAATGTAAAATGTTTTTTAGCACATATATAAACATTAAACTGTCACCCAGTTACTAAAACATCCTCTCAATTGCTTATCATGTTTTTATTAGACAAGTGATTCAACATTGTTCCCAAGTTGCCAGATACCTGACAATGTCAAGGTAAGTCATCACCAGGTCCTCAAGTTACTGATGTGCAAGAAGTGTGAGAAAGTTCCTGTTCTGTTTCATATAGCAAAGAATCAAGACCTTACCTAAAATCCTAAGATAGGTTCACAGTCCTAACCTGGATATGTGCTAAATTCCAGTTTTAAAATTTTTCTACCTATACAAACATACTATTGCCTTCTTAAAAAGCTTTCATCACTTTTCTTCTGTGTTGGTCATTAAAGAACAAAACCAAAAATGGCAGACAATTCTAAGATACTTAAAAATCCATAAACAACTATAGATGTGGTTTTATGCATGACTTAGCATACACACATACATTCCTGAGCTCTGCTTGCTGAGATGGACTAGAAGCAATGATGCCATAGTAGTAGTGAGCACCTTAGAGTCTAGATATTGGTATCTAAATACTATTATCCAATCAAAGGAACCAGGGCCCCTTAAATCCAAGATGAGTCTGGAATGTCTTGTGGTGGAGAGTAAGGAAGTCCTAAATTAGAATGGGGGTATGTTGAAAAAATACAGGAGCCAAACTGAAAGAGCTCCCAGTGGCTCAAACTGGAATAATTTGAGCAAAAAAAAGATTAACAGTAATATTGGGTTAAAATCTATAGAATGAAATATCTATGAATTCATTTTGGTATAAATAAATAACTGAAGAAATAAAAGTGGAGAAAGGGAAAACAGTAAATGTGTAGCAAAGAACATCGGTAGTTACCATCTTAACTTATTACTGATGATCACCATCAGTAATGATTGCCATCATCAGTAATAAGACATATCAACATCACACTCCATGATATGACGGACTAAGAAGGGCGCATCACCTTTGTGATGTTCTTGCCAAACTTGTATGACCTCAATCTAAACATGAAAAAACATCAGAAAAAGCTAAATTGAGGGACATTCTGTAAAATAACTGGCCAGTACTCTTGAAAACCACCAAGATCATGGAAGTCAAAGAAAGACTGAAGAACTGTCACAGATTAGAGAAGACTAAAGAGACCCAACAGCTAGATGCAATGCGGGGTCCTGAACTGGGTCCTGGAACAGAAAGACGACATTAGTGGAAAAACCAGTGAAATCCAAACAAAGTCTGAAGTATAGTTAATTGTATTCTACTGATATTAACTTCTTCATTTTGACAATTGTTCCAAGATTATGCAAGATGCTAACATTAGGGGATGCTGAGTGATGGGTAGACGGGAACTTCCTCTACCGTTTTGCAACTTTTCTCTAAGTCTAAAATTATTTGAAAATAAAAAGTGAAAAAAAAGACATAAGAATTGATATAAAATGACAGATTAACATATTTCACATGAATAAAAAAGCTATGTTTCATGGATCACCTTCTGTATCAGTCACTTCTAGTGGTTTGTTTCTTTCCTGGCTTCACTTTCAAAAGTTTTTCATAGGTAGGTAAAATTTAGATTGCCAAGTTTTTATTACAGGGCATTAATAGAATATTTCTGTCAAATCTGTCTAATGAAGATGGTCATGCTCTGTAATTACAAGTAAACAGACCTATTAGCTAACACTTAAGTACTTACTATCTGCCAAACTCTGCTGTAAGTACTTTGCATGTATTAATTCATTTAATGTACTCAACAACCCTATGAGGCAGATTCTAACATTATTCCTATTTTTACAGGTGAAAAACAATTAGGTCACTTGCCCAAGGCCATGCTGCCTGCCTTTGCTTTTAATCACCACTGGGCTTTGCCTGTAGAGCAATGTCAGGGCCACCATACCAAGTCAGTTCTGCTTCAAGTTTGAAGAACAGAGAAAGATCACAGCATAACAAACTTCAGGTTAATATCCTGCAACAGTATTCAGAAGGACATCACTATATAGCAGGTACTGAAAATTAAAAAGCATTCCTTTCTTCTGATCTCCCTAAAAGTTTCATCCCAAAGCCTGCCAGATACGTTTTAAGAACGAAAAAAGACAAAACTTACTATGTAATCAGAAACTGATAAAATAAACCATAATAGGTCCTCACAAGACATTATGATCTTTCATATAACCATGTATTTAGATAATTCCTCAAGTGTGTGTTCTTTACTCAATGAATGGTACCAATTTCTGATTCTGAAGAAAAAATATTTAAAGAATTTCTTAATACACCTGAAGTCTATTATGTAAATACACAGTGCATTTTTTGAAACACACATTATTTACCCAATAGATTAGGTGTTTAGTGAAGAAGCTATTACAGACTATTGGATAAACAGATATTTAGACAATTTTCAATCAATTATTTAAAACACATGCCATTAAAAGTTTATTAGCGTGATTATTTTTAAAGAACCACCATCAAGATCATTAAAGTAATGAAGGTTCTATGGAGACAATTAAAATATAACAATAAGTGAACAATTTGAATTAAAATAAATGCAAGCCTCACACCACAAGTGCAAGACATACTTTATTTTTTTAATAACTCAACTGTCTAATCTCTCAGTTCAAAACACCAACTGAATTGGCCTTATCATGAGCCAAATCTTTGGTCAAAATTAGTTTTGTAAAACTGCTGACTTCATCTCGAAAGCTTATGAAAGGTCTTTTTTAGCAAAGGATTCCACTTTTACTTTTAAACTTGCGCTCACTTTTTAATGTTACAATAGAAGAATGATTCATATTCTGCAGCCTCTCTTTTGGTTTGTGTATATCCATCCCATAGATCGGATCTCATATCTCACCCACGGGAGATGCAGAATTCTATATAGAAAGAAAAATAATAAACAAATGCCAGAGGCCCACTTTCGTGGACACAAGCCTCCACAACAAACAAACAAAAGAAAATCATCTATTATTCCAAAATAAATAAATCAGGTGGGTTTATAAAAATTGTTATAGAAACAGCATTTCTTCAATTTGAGTAGTTTTTAGGCAAATCGGCAAACGTTTCCAAATGTATTTGTGTACATGAAAAACACAAACAAAAGGTTTTAATTATCTTTTCAAAGTCTTCAAAAATGTTCTAGATATAAAATTCAAAATTCCCGTGCCACGCTTTATCCTGAAAAGAAATGATAGTTAAATTAGAAATCCTTGAAAAATAGGATTGCTAATGGAAATACCCACAGAAGGCAGGCTGCAATTGTTCCACCACCGTAATACAATCTATTCCAGAATAATTTTTCTTTTTATTATTTCATTAAGTTGTATCTCACTAAAGTTCCTCTTAGGATCTCTCAGCAGCACCAAATTTTTCATTGAGAAAACGATAAATCACTGGCCTAAATTACAATTTAATTATAAACGCCTTTGCCTTCTAATGCTGCCTAGGACCTTCTACCCTGCTACATAATTCTAAAAAATGACCCCTGTCATAATTTCCTTCACTAGAATAATATGGGGAGATCTAATCCTGAATCCTGCTGTCTTATAATTTAATATAAGAGGTAATTATTATTCAAAAGATAATGTTGCAGATATTGAAAATATTCTGAAGTTTGAGTCTGAAAAAAAAAGGAAGTCTTAGGTATATGGGAGCTTTCTATCACTGCACCTATCAAGAGAAGCTAGAGGAAAGAAGCAAAGGGGGTTTTAATGAAAAAAATATTAGAATCTATAGACAGCTGGTGTTTTGTATTGTGTGAAATGCATTTATATAATCTTCAAACCATGGTTAGAAATGAAATGCCTCATTTCCAAAATCAGGGAAGCAGAGAGAGCAATGTTGCCGTGAGCGACAATTTCTTTAAGTTCCGAGTCTGCTTTCGTGCTGGGGTGATAAAAACTGCACCCTCTTTGTCACAGTTGCAATAGGAGGATTTGGGTGGGGAAGTTTTGCAAAAACAAAGGAGCAGAATGAACCAAATGGCCAAGAAGAAGGGTCCTGACGATGGTTGGATGCAGCACAGAGAAAGAGCTTCTTGTGGATGTTTTATTGGCAGCATCTGCACAGCTTGGAGGGGCTACATACCAAAGCCAACTTTGGCCTCCCCAGCAATGTTTCAAAACTGTGCTAAATGCTAGGGTTTTCTCTCTCCTTCCAGAATTCACCAACAGGTAAATCAAGAGCAAAGAACAGATAACAGTAGGTTTGGTGAAACTTCCTCAATAATGAAGTGCTTTTTAACCCCTAAGAGCAGGAATGTAAATTGCATTCAATTGGTGCCCTGGAAATCCCAACTTTCCCTCCTGTGCAGCTATCGGCCTCTCCACAACGTGCTTGAATGGCACAGGTGAAAAGTCAGTTGTGTTGGTAGGCAATTCCTTGTTATCATGTGGCCTGAAAAGCTGGGGCAGTACAGAATACAGGGAGTGGATCCCACAGATGAAATGAAGTGGCATTTCAGTGGAAAGCTGAATTGAATGTTCCGCTCTATTTTCACAAAAAAAGGGAAAGACAAAGGGTTTCTATTAAATTACAAATGTTCTTGAGATCCTGTATCTAAGAACTTAGTCCACTGTGCCTAAGTGTATGAATAAAGAGGCCTCTCTTTCACCTTGTTCCCCCCCAAAAATTCAAGTTATGGTGAAATGAACCATCATAACTATCTAATGGCATGGGTGTAATTA